TGCCGCACAACGGACTGCCAAACCGCCGCTTCGGCTTATTGTGCAGACAGTAGTCGCTACCGTGGGATAATGCCCACGACAAATATTCGAGACTGCATGAAGACCAGTAAAGCGAAGGGGGTCCACTAAAACGCGCCGTACAAGCTTGAAATGAATAAGGCGGTCAAAAGATAACTACCTGGAAGTGGAGGCCATGATGCAATAACGAGTCGGGCATTTGCACGACGCTTTGTCGTGTTCCAGTCCAAAATTGTGACCTACTTCGTGGGCTATGGTGGCAGCGACGGCAACCGGATTGTGACTATGATCCTGAAGAACAAACAAAGGTAAATCAAACATATTCTACAGTCTTATAGAACACAGCAGATTCAAACTGTCTAAATAGAAAACGACAAACGAGTCTTTGATAACCAAAGTTGACAGAACTATTTTCGATTTTCTTCAAATGAAAGATACACTGTATACAACACGCATGATGGAACAGTGATTATCATAAATATTTTTCATCAAGCTACGTCGTTCACTGGAATGAATTACGTTGATTAAAATTCCTTGCGAATCAACGAAGTGCCCTCATCTAGTGTGTGCCTAAATTCTCATTTTTTGTTTCTCTTACTGTGATCTTGCATAAGCCACTGCCAATGATCTTTGAAAATAGTCTTCTACAAAAATCCTCCTCAATTATTCCATTATCATTAATCAAATTAGAATGCCTTCTATCCCTGTTATGATCAAGGATATTAATTACTTACAATTAGCACATTCTTTACAGATATCGAAACAAGCAACATTCCGTTCTTTGTCAGTGTTCTTATATGCTTATCTTTTTTATACTGTCCGACTACTGCAACGTAAATGAACAAGCACTTTGGTGGAATTTACCAGCCGCTGTAAGTAGCCTCTCTCCAGAATCACGATATGGACCAAGTTCATGAACAGCTGGTCAGAAGTTTAATAGAGAGCGACCTTTTCTTCTCTTTATAAAACTGAACAAAACTATGGCGAACTTCGACGACTCATCTGTACATTTAGACGATACGAATAACATTTGCAACCTTTAGGTATAATAACATCAATGGAGGATGTTATCTGAGCAGGAGGGTCTTTTCTGACCTTCGTAGAGTGTTGATCCCAGTTTCGATGTTATCAGTTAACACATTTTCTGCACAATATGATGAAAGGATCATCTATGCTGCCCTTAGAGAGGATACTTTCAAGTTCAGAGGTATTTCGATATAACTGAAAGATACGTAGCGCAGATCCATGCTCAACAATTATTAAATAATTTCACACCATACGTTTACGTGTTAAGTCTGCAGTCAAGCAATCAGTGCGAACAAAAGTGGTTCAACGGTTCAGTCAGTCAGTCAGTCAGTCAGTCAGTCAGTCAGTCAGTCAGTCAGTCAGTCAGTCAGTCAGTCA